AGTTTTCTAGAAAACCCATAGAAGAACATGTCACAAAATTCTGTGCAAAAATATATCGATTTTCTTTTTCGATGTTCTATCTCTGTTATAAATTTCACCCCGATCCGACATCGGCGTCCCCGGTTTCCAAGAGGGTCAAAAAAGAGGGGGGGGTACCCTTAAGAACATTCTCTATTTCATGTATAACGACAAAAAACCTAAGAAAAATCTAAATTTTGAGGCAGAACATCAATTGTGTATTTTCAAATCATATTTCATTTCGTGTAAGGTTAATCATTTCTAACAGAAATTACATCAGAATTACATATTAAATCTATTCTATCGAATTAAGTCAATATACACTATCATTTGTATGATCTTGAAGAATTATTGAACGTACAATTGTGAATAAACGAGTAACTTAAAAATATATTGTCTTTAGAATATTAAGGATGTGTGATTCATAATGTTGCAATGCTGATTTGTTAAAAAAATACCTATTGTGTTTTTGTTTTTGATACTAGATTACAAGAAATAATAGAAAAAAAACAAATCTATCTTTAGTTTCATCCATCATACGATAAAATTGCCATTAAATAAAACAATAACCCTTTCTCTAAGTTGAGTAATCCTCCATATTATTTTGTCATAAAAAATGATCCAAATGACCATTATAACAATGACAGTATAGTCAGATATTTTAGTTCTTATGTATGCGATTTTATCCATATGTATGTCTCACTGTGCGCAGATAAAAGAGTTAGAAAATACATTTATTTTTCGTCACAGATTACAAATTAAAAGAAAAGCAGCTGTTCACATAACGAGAGAAATTTTTTTATTTTTTATTTTTATTCGATTTCTTTTATAGTTGAAAAAAATATTGCATATTTCTATCAGATTTTTGATATTTACAAATTACAACTACGTTATCTATATCAGAGCAGGTATGCTAACTTTAGTAGAAAACAGCGTATCATCGCAATTAATCTCAGCTATCTCGACAGACTTAATATTTTTTCCTCTAAATATTCTGCATCACAATAGATTTTTATTAAAAGACTAGTGAGTTATATAAATAGTTAATCAACTATTTAATAAATTTCATTTACTAAACATTTTTTAATAATTCATGCTAAACATTGTTATTATTGGTATAATAAACGATTCTCGGTCATTGAAAGAACAATTGCATCTATTTTTTTGCGGCGTAAACTCTGAATGTTTTGAACTTTTTCATTCTTTAGATATGTCTACTAACAAAACTACAACTCAACATGAAGATACGTATGATCATTATTTATTTGAAAATGAAAAACATTTTCAAGCAGGTAATGGAGGAAAGCAACGTACAAAAGCTGAGGTGGAATTAAATTCAAATCGACAAGAGTCCAACGGACAAAATAGAAAAATTGTGACAATAATGGCAAATACCGAAAAAAATCATAAAAGCACTAAATGATCATTTAAAAGTTAATATGATCAATTTGTACAAATATACTTATTCGCACTTTTGGTTATAATGGACATTTTATCATGATGTTGGTTTTTTCATTTACCGGTACTGTAATCATTTTTCTTCTAAGGTTATTGTATGAACTCTTTTTAAACTATTGTAATTAAACGGTTGCGGCCCGTTTGAAAAATATGATTGTCTATAAACGTAGTAGCGGAAGAGCTAGATATGGAATCGCCATTCTTCACGCAGTTTTGGATCACGATGTTTCTAACGGGTAGGCAGAGGAAACTGATCTCTAAACTATTCGCAAATCATTCATTCATGTTATGGAACGAGTTAACAGAGAATTTACCTAAAGCAAACACTGACAACAGGAACTCATTAACGGGATTTTACAGAGGCACAAGCCATTGGAACCCGGGTTGCCAAGTGCAAAATCCGCAGTTCGGAAAAAATCCCATTAAAGTTGGAAAAAAATGGTATTGAAAATCGGAAGAAGCATTTTTTCCAGAATACCTTAACAAGATAAAGGTATCAGACTTTTTCTGCTACAACAATACATGGTCGTTTTTACAGCAGAAAAAACACATTCAATAATAGTTAAAAAAACCTATTATCTGAAACATTGACTGTTTCTTTTGCTAACGGAAACAGTGCAATCTTGTGATAAATATGAATGAGCATGTTTAACGCCATGAAATACAAATGTTGCTTCAATGGTTGATAATTTATCTAACTCAGGAAATGGTGTAAAAAATGTTTCAAGTGAGTCTAGAATTTGTTAAGAAATACAAAAATAGCTTGAGAAAATAAATCAAAAGGATCAGATGGTCCGCATTTTGCGGACAAATTCCGTTTTCTGTAGTTTTTTCCGCAAAATGTCCGCTGTTCGTAATTTGTCCGCTTTTCTAGGATTGTTTGTTTTTGTCCTTTTTCCTGCAATGAAGATTT